CATTTTAATTATGTTTGTTCTTCCAATCCATGGGAATGGGATATCTTTCCATCTCTTTATGTCGTCATCAGTTTCTTTCAGGAAAGCCTTGTAGTTTTCGTTGTATAGGTCTTTCACTTCCTTGGTTAAATTTACCCCAAGGTATTTTATTCTTTTTGTTGCGATTGTGAATGGGATTGTGTTCTTGAGTTCTTTTTCTGTTAGTTCATTGTTAGAGTATAGAAATGCTGCTGATTTATGTATGTTGATTTTATACCCTGCAACTTCGCTGTAGTTGTTGAATATTTCTAATAGTTTTCCAATGGATTCTTTGGGGTTTTCTATATATAAGATCATGTTGTCTGCAAACAGCGAGAGTTTCACTTCTTCATTGCCTATTTGGATTCCTTTTATTTCTCTTTCCTGCCTAATTGGTCTGGCCCAAACCTCCAGTACTATGTTGAATAAGAGTGGACACCCTTGTCTTGTTCCTGTTCTCAGAAGGATGGTTTTCAGTTTTCCCCCATTGAGTATGATGTTGGCTGTGCGTCTGTCATATATGGCCTTGATCATGTTGAGGTACTTTCCTTCTATACCCAGTTTATTGAGAGTTTTTTTTTTTTTTTATCATAAATGGATGTTGGATCTTGTCAAATGCTTTCTCTGTGTCTATTGAGATGATCACGTGGTTTTTGTTTCTCATTTTGCTAATGGGTGTATCACGTTAATTGACTCGCAGATGTTGAACCATCCCTGTGTCCCTGGTATAAATCTCACTTGATCATGGTGTATGATCTTTTTAATGTATTGCTGTACTTGGTTTGCCAGAATTTTGTTGAGGATTTTTGCATCTATGTTCATCAGTGATATTGGCCTGTAGTTTTCCTTCTTTGTGTTGTCCTTGTCTGGTTTTGGAATCAGGGTGACGCTGGTTTCATAGAATGCGTTAGGAAGTGCTCCATCTTCCTCAATTTTCTGGAATAGTTTGAGAAGAATAGGTATTAAGTCTTCTTTGAATGTTTGGTAGAATTCTCCAGAGAAGCCATCTGGTCCTGGACTTTTATTTTGGGGGAGGTTTTTGATTACTGTTTCAATTTCTTTACTTGTGATTGGTCTATTCAGATTCTCTAGTTCTTCCTGCTTCAGTTTTGGGAGGTTGTAAGAGTCTAAGAATTTATCCATTTCTTCTAGGTTGTCCAATTTTTTGGCATATACTTTTTCATAGTATTCTCTTATGATCTTTTGTATTTCTGTGGTATCTCTTGTGACTTCTCCTCTTTCATTTCTAATTTTATTTATTTGAGTCTTCTCTCTTTTTCTTAGTGAGCCTGGCTAAGAGTTTGTCAATTATGTTTATTTTCTCAGAAAACCAACTCTTTGTTTCATTGATCCTCTCTATTGTCTTTTTTGCTTCAATTTCATTTATTTCTGCTCTAATGTTTATTATTTCCCTGATTCTACTGACTTTGGGCTTTGTTTTTCTTCTTTTTCTAATTCTGTTAGGTGTCATTTGATATTGTTTATCTGAGATTTTTCCTGTTTACTGAGGTGAGCCTGTATTGCAATGAATTTCCCTCTTAGGACTGCTTTTGCTGCATCCCAAATGAGTTGGCATGGCATGTTTTTATTTTCATTTGTCTCCAGATAATATTTGATTTCTTCTTTAATTTCTTCAATGATCCATTGGTTGTTCACTAGCATGTTGTTTAATCTCCACATTTTTGCCCCTTTCCCAGTTTTATTCTTGTAGTTGATTTCTAGTTTCATAGCATTATGATCAGATAAGATGGTTGATATTATTTCAACCCTATTGAATTTGTTGAGGCTTGCTTTGTTTCCCAAGATATGGTCCATCCTTGAGAATATTCCATGCGCACTTGAGAAGAATGTGCAACCTGCTGTTTTTGGATGGAGTGTTCTATATATATCTATTAAGTCCATCTGGTCTAGTTTTTCATTTAATTCTACAATTTCCTTGTTGACTTTCTGTGTGGATGATCTATCCATTGGTGTTAGTGGGGTGTTGAGGTCCCCTATTATTATTGTATTGTTGTTGATATCTCCTTTTAGTTTTGTTAATAGATGCTTTACATACTTTGGTGCTCCTGTGTTGGGTGCATATGTATTTATAAGTGTTATGTCATCTTGCTGGAGCGTCCCTTTTATCATTATAAACTGCCCCTCTTTGTCTCTCTTTAACTGTTTTGCTTTGAAGTCTACTTTGTCTGATATAAGTATGGCAACACCTGCTTTCTTATGTTCATTATTAGCTTGGAGTATCGTCTTCCATCCCTTCACTCTGAGTCTGTGTTTGTCTTTGGGGCTGAGATGTGTTTCCTGGAGGCAGCATATTGTTGGGTCTTCTTCTTTAATCTATCCTGCCACTCTGTGTCTTTTGATTGGAGAGTTCAATCCACTTACATCTAGAGTGAGTATTGAAATGTGAGGGCTTAATGCCATTTTATTGCTTGCTTTCCAGTTCTCTTGCATTTCCTTTGATTCTCATCTCATGATTTTTGGACTACCAATTCAGGTAGGTAGTTTTCTATATTGGCTTTTTTCTTGTTTGGAATTTGTGTTTTTATTCTTGTTATTTGTTTAGTGGTTACTGTGTGGTTTGTATAAAATGTCCCATAGATGAGATAGTCCATTTTCTGCTAGGCTCTTATTTCCTTAGATTGAGTCATTCGAACAGGATGCATTTTATTACCATTCACAACAATCTCTTTATTTGAAATTCTCTTTCCAACCATGACCCAATTAAACACAAAGGAAGAACCAGGCTGTGCTAGGCTGATTCCATGATGGTCCACAACAACTACCTTCTGGTTATTCACCTTCCCCCCAGTTATTCAACCAAACACTAACACAGTTGCTGCTGAGAAGGGATTTTGCAGATGTAACTAAGATCTCAAATCAGTTGATCTGAAGACAAGGGGATTGTCCTGAGTGGGACTGTCCTAATCAGGTGAGCTCTTAAAAGGACTGGGTTCTTCCTGAGCAAAGAGATTCAAAGGTGAGAGAGATTCAACGTGAGGGATTTTCTCCATTGTGGGCTTTGAAAATGGAGGCCGCATGGCAAGGAATGCTGGTGACCAGTAAGTGTTGGGAGCAGTCCTGCTACAGCCTGTCATTGACAGTTGTTAAGGAAAGAGGGTCCTCAGTCCTACAACTGGAAAAAATTGAATTCTGCTAACAAGCTCTGTATAAGCTTAGAGGAAGATTCTGAGCTCAAGATGAGAACCTAGCTTTGTGAAACCCTGAACAGACAACCCACACACACCATGCATAGATTTCTGACTAAGGAACTGTAAGCAAACAAGTGGGTGTTGTTTTGAGCCACTAAGTCATGGTTATTTGCGACGCAGTAACAGAAAGTAATACACAAGCTCGCTGTGCAACAGATAAGCACATAGCATTTTTTCCAGTGGAATGAATTTATGAACTGATAAGCATGTTAGTCCCATAAAATAAAATCTTTCCAAATTTTTTGCTTTTCATTTTATCAATTTCAATAACATAATTAAACTTTAACACTATCATATTTCATTCATTTATTCAGTGACAACTAATTTAATCCCTACTATGTACCAGGAACAGCTTTATCTCCTGGGGATACAACTTTGACCTAAATAGCCCACAGCCCCTGTGCTCATGCACTTTACATTCTAGAGGCTTCCAAAGAGTGAGACGGAACCATTGGAGTGTTTTAGTGAAGAAATGACGCATCCTGACTCATGCTAGCAGGATCCCTGACCACTGCAGGGACAATAGTCCATGGGTGGCATGTGAGTGGGTGGCACTTGTGCCACAGTTCAGGCCTGAGAGGGTGGTGGAGACGAAAGGTAGAAGGGGGTCTGAGGGGTGAGAGGGACAGAGAGAAGGGCTGGAGAAACAGGCGTGAGGAAAGAAGCAGAGGTAAAGAATTCTAAAGCAGCGAAATCCTCAGATTTAAACATATTGTTTTATAGATCTTTAGTAAATATATCTACAAGCCCAGCAGGGTAGCCTTTGCATTTGGTGTTTACTGTATCCTATGGGGCTGCCTAAAAACTAATGCCCCTTATGTTAATCAGTTTAAAAAATGTGTCCCAATAAAATATTCACACGGCTCAGATGTGAAGAACTCATAAAAAGAGGCAGTGCAGGGGCTCTGGTGAATGGCATTCTGACTGCACAAGCACTTGCAACTTTGAGAAAATTAATCCACAATAACAAACGGTGCTTCCTCATGCTTCATTGTACTGAGGACATGTCAGGGACTCACAGGGACAAACGAGGGAATGAAGATCATTTTAAAATACAACAACCTGGAGTCATAGATATACTGACTGAAAAGTAAAATTTACGAGCTTTCCAAGTCTGACTGCTGGGCTGTGCAGAGACATTTCTGTACGAAGGGGCCTAAATCACTGCTTTTACAGATTAGAATCCGGATGTTCAGGGTTTTCAAGATTGTGTTACCCACTGTGGTTATTAAATCAAAAGGAAGCTGGTCCCCATGACAACCTCTATCTGGTGTTTTCAGGCACAACTTCTCCAGGTTTAAAGAGAAGACCCCTGTGCCTCCACCTCCATTCCCAGGGCGAGCTCACTCTCTGGCATCAACTTCTCTGGGGGTGAGTTTTCTTCTAGAAGAGTCCAGGGGAGAGGTCAGGGGTGGAATGTAAGGAGTCTATTTCAGGGAGAGGGATTCCAGTAAGAGGAGGAAAAGGGGCTGAGCCCAGCCTGGGGGTCTCTCCCTCGTTTCCTCAGACAGCTCCTGGGCCAGGACCCAGGGAGACGGTGTGACAAAGAGCTCTCGGTGCAGAAGGAGAGGAGTCAGGGGAAATGGTTCTCAGGGTCCCAGGCCCCGAGGGCCGTGTATGGGCGGTTGTCTGCAGCTCAGTGTTGGGGAGTCCTTGTCTCCCTGAGACTCACTTCTTCCTCACATCTGTGTCAATCCTCCTGCCTGGAGACTCATGACGCAGCCTCAGTTCTGACTCCCATTGCGTGTCCAGTTTCTAGATAAGCCCATCAGCATTTCCATCGTTCCAGGTTATAAAGTCTCCACCACCCTCTGGGACGCAGATTCTCCTCATACCCTAAGAATGAGGATCACGGCGCCAGGAACCCTCCTCCTGCTGCTGTCGGGGGCCCTGACCCTGACCGAGACCTGGGCGGGTGAGTGCGGGGTCAGAAGGAAACGGCCTCTGCTGGGGGAGGAGCGAGGGGACCACGCGGCTGGGGGCGCAAGACCCCCGGGAAGGGGCGTCTCCGCAGACCCATGCCCAGACTCCCCACCTCGGGCCCCGCTATCCTGAGCCCTCCCTTCTTCTGCCCCGCCTGCTTCTCACCCCAAGTCCCTGGCTTTCTCCGTCTGCCACTCCTTTTCCATCTCACGAGCCCCTTCCCCCTCCCGGCCTCATCACCCTCAGACCCGGGACCCGCACGAGGAGGAGGGTCGGCCGGGTCTCAGCCCTTCCCCGCCCCCAGGCTCCCACTCCATGAGGTATTTCTACACCGCCGTGTCCCGGCCCGGCCGCGGGGAGCCCCGCTTCATCGCCGTCGGCTACGTGGACGACACGCAGTTCGTGCGGTTCGACAGCGACGCCGCGAGTCCGAGGGTGGAGCCGCGGGCGCCGTGGGTGGAGCAGGAGGGGCCGGAGTATTGGGAAGAGCAGACGCAGAGCATCAAGGACCACGCACAGAGTTTCCGAACGAGACTGAACACCGTCCGTGGCTACTACAACCAGAGCGAGGCCGGTGAGCGACGCGGGCCCGGATCCAGGTCACGACCCCCCATCCCCACGGACGGGCCGGGGTCTCCCCGAGTGTCCGGGTCCGAGATTCACCCCGAGGCTGCGGGACCCGCCCGACCCCCTACCCGGAAAGAGCTGGCAGTAACTTTTCCGCGGTTTCATTTTTAGTTTGGGTCTAATCTCTGCGGGGGGCGGGGCGGGGGCGGGTCAGGGTCTCACACCCTCCAGTGGATGTATGGCTGCGACGTGGGGCCGGACGGGCGCCTCCTCCGCGTGTACGGGCAATCCGCCTACGACGGCGCCGATTACCTCGCCCTGAACGAGGACCTGCGCACCTGGACCGCGGCGGACGCGGTGGCTCAGATCTCCAAGCGCGAATGTGAAGCGGCCGGTGGGGCGAAGTACTGGAAGAACTACCTGGAGGGCACGTGCGTGGAGCGGATCCTCAGATATCTGGAGAACGGGAAGGAGATGCTGCAGCGCGCGGGTAGGAGGGGCTGCGCGACCTCTTGATCTCCCCTTGGGCTGAGCCTGCCATCCCGCAGAGAGAGGAGGAAAATGGGATCCACACATGAATGTGCCCAGCCCATGGGTCGGGAGACTGAGTCCCCCAGGGTGTCAGATCCAGGCCAAAGAGTGACTCCCCAGAGGGCTTGCCTTTATCTCAGGGGCATTAAGCGGTCCAGGCTCTCTGGGGATGGAGGAGGAAGCTATCTCTGAAATAACTGACAAGCGGTTCCCTTTGACTCTGGCAGCAGCTCTGGGACTTTGTCTCTCAGGCCTTGTTCTTCGTCCTCACACCATATGTGTTTGAGGTCTGACCAGGTTTTCTGAGTCATTTCACCTCCACCCAGCTCAGGATCTATCTTGGGCTGTTTCACTTTGATTCCAGAAATTTTCAAGGAGTGGAAGTTATTTCAGGTCCCTGTGTTCAAACTGGTGTCTAGGTTTTGTGATCCCTTCCCCTGCTCCTGTTGTCCTGTCCATTCATAGGATGGTCACATGAGCGCTGCCTCAGTGGCCCAAATGGATGCAAAGTTCCTGAATTTTCTGATCCTTCTCCTCAGATCCCCCAAAGACACAGGTGACCTACCACCCCATCTCTGACCATGAGGTCACCCTGAGGTGCTGGGCCCTGGGCTTCTACCCTGCGGAGATCACCCTGTCCTGGCAGCGTGATGGAGAGGACCTGACCCAGGACACGGAGTTTGTGGAGACCAGGCCTGCAGGGGACGGGACCTTCCAGAAGTGGGTGGCTGTGGTGGTGCCTTCTGGAGAGGAGCAGACATACACATGCCGTGTGCAGCACGAGGGGCTACCTGAGCCCGTCACCCTGAGATGGGGTAAGGAGGGAGGCGTGGGCTCAGAGCCTCTTCTCAGGGAAATCAGGAGCCCTTCTGGAGACCTTTAGCAGGGTTGGGGCTGCGGCCTGGGGATCAGGGCCCTCACTTTCCCTTCCCTTCCCAGAGCCACTGCCTCAGCCCACCATTCCCATCATTTGCCTCATTGCTGGCCTGGTTCTCCTTGGAGCTGTGGTGGCTGGAGTTGTGATGTGGATGAAGAAGTGCTCAGGTAGGGAAGGGGTGTGGTCTTAGTTTTCTTGACCCACTGGGGTGTTTGAAGCCCAGATAGAAGTTTGTCCTGCCTGGTCGATGAATAGTCCCATCCACAGGCACATGTGCTTTCCTAGTCTGGGACCCTGTTTGCTAACACTTACTCTTTAGTAAACACATGTGAGAATGAAGGATAAATGTATCACCTTAATGAATCTGGTGATGGGGACATGATTCTCAACAGTCACAGGACAGAGGAGAAGGTGAGGGGAAGTCATAGGTCACAGCTCAAGAGGGTGGTTAGTCCAGTCTCCACCCATGTACTTTCCTCGTGTTTCCTGATCCTGCCCTGGGTTTGTAATCACAGTTCTGGAAACTTCTCTGGGGTTCAGGACTAGGGGGTTCCTTTAGGACCTCATGGCCCTGCTTCTTCCCTGGTTTCTCACAGGATGTTTTCTTCCCACAGGTGGAAAAGGAACAAGCTATGTTGTGGCTGCAAGTAAGTATGAAGGACGTGTCATCCCTGAGACTCATGCGATAGTGTAGACGGGAGCGAATGGGGGAGCTCACCCACCCCATAGTTCCTCCATTAGTCTCATCTCCTGTGGGCTCTGACCACATCATGTTCTGTTCTACTCCAGGCAGTGACAGTGCCCAGGTCTCTGATGTGTCTCTCAAGGCAGGTGAGCCCCTGGAGGCCTGAAGTGGGGAGATGTTGGGGCGGAGGGGCCTGGACTAGGTTATGGAGATTCTTTGATTGGGACATTCTGGGCATGTGGTGGGCTGTTCAGAATGTCACTAATTACAGCGAGTGACTTAAATTGTTCATAATTATTTTCTTCTATAGAGTGAAACAGCTGCCTGTGGGGGACAGAGTGATGCAAGATTTGTTCCTGTCCCACCCCCATTGTGACTTCAGGAATCTCTGACTTCTGTATCTGCAAAGGGCATCTGAGGGTGTCTGTGTTCCTATTAGCATAACGTGAGCAGCTAAGGAGACTAGTCTCCCCCATGACCCCCTCCCACACTGCCCTGTGTTCTGTCCCCTGATTGACTTTCCTGTCCCGGCAGAGGTGGGGCTGGTTCCATCCCTGTCTTAACTTCATGTTGCACTGAGCTGCAACTTCTTATTTTCCCATTGAAAATAAGCATCTGGATAAGAACTTATTTTTTCAGATTTTTGCCATCAGCGATTGGTGGGTTAATTAAAGGAGAAGATTCCTAAAATTTGAGAGGGGAAATAAATGGAGGTCTGAGAACCTTCCAGAATCTGCCTGTTCGCTGTGGTGAGTCTGTTGCAGGTGGAGACAGGAGAAGGCTGTGAGGAGCTGAGCATAAGACTGAGGCCTGTGCCCAGTCAATGTTCAGTGCATTGTGGCCTTTGACATGGTGACTCCTTGGTGGGGACATCTTCTCTGCTTCTTTGGCCTTGTCCTTTCAGGAGAATCTTGTCCCAGCAGGACCTATGACTGCAGGGATTCGGACATACCTGGGCCTTGTGTCTACAGGACCGCGTGTAGGGCGAGATTCATGTGGCCGGGTCAGCCTAGGCTCAGGCCTGGGTCTGGCCCTTATCCCCCCTTTTGGGTGTTTATTTGTTGTTCCTTTGTTTCTGTAGCGGATTGTGCCTGTTCTTGTTCTTCTGTATAAGTTCTTGTGATCTCCTCTGGGTGTCCCATCTCTGACAGCAGCAGGAGTCAATTGGTCTGTCATTGTCCCCACAAGGCCAGGCGGCCTTGCACACTGACATCTATGCTGTCCAGAGATGAATTTTCAGACTTGTCCAGCTCTGTCCTTCTTCTAGGGCTTGATTGTCACTTCCACCTGACCCCAACCTTTCAAAGGAGCCAGATTCTGGAATTAGAGAGGAGCGACCCTGTCATTTCTCATCCTAGGCAAGTTCCTGTTGGAATTCTCCTCTGCGGCCTGCTCTCTCTCCCTGCCCTTAGTGCTGGTTCCCCCAGTGCTGGCTCCAGTCTGAACTCACGATGTATGAAGCAGAGTCTAGGTTCATACTTGGTTGTACAATAGGACTCAAGTAAAGGATCATTGTTTTCTGAAGAGAGAACTGTAATTGTGTGCTGGGGTGTGCAGGAGGGTTGTTGTGGGAAGGAGAGATGGAGGGAGGGAGAGGGGAGAGCAGCACTTGTGAGAAAAGTACAGGTGGCGTTGATGTCAGGATGAGTGGACATTTTGCTGTAGCTGCCACAAAACAACATGTGGACACAGGTTACATTGTCAAAGATGCTGTGTCTAGAAAAGGGAGATGCTGTACGCTGAACGTCATTCAACTGATACTGGTTGTGTGCTGGATGTGTAACATACTATTTTTGTATCTGGGTAACATCATTGAAGTAAAAACAGAAAAATTACTGGACCTGTGAAGCATATGTTGTAGTGGGAAGAGACAGGCTATATACCATGAGCGTAGTGAATAAGGACAGTGTTTATGTCAGAAGGTGGTAAGTGCTACGGAAAAATGCAATGGGGAAGGCGATCCAGAGGGTGGCAGTGGGCACGGGGAAGATGGCTGTTTTAATTTGGGGGGTCGTTGTAGCCCTCACTGGGAAGGTACCTTTGAGGAAAGATGTGAAGGACAGGAGGAATTATCCACGAGGATGTCTGGGGAAGTTCTTTCCAAGCAGGGGAACCTCCAGTGCAGATGCGCTATGGCAGCAGTGTGTCTATGTTTTCTGGGAAGAGCAAGGAGGCCAGTGTGGCTGCAGGAGAGAGCAATTGAGATGAGACAGAGGTGCAGCCAGACCATGTAGGCCTGGAGAATGTTAGAAGGGTTTGACCTTTGAGGCAGATGGGGAGTTACACGACCGTTTAGAGCAGGAGAGGGACGTGGTATGACGTCTCCTTTAGAGGATCACTGTGGCTGCTGTGCTGAGAACAGAACTGGGAGGCAAAGGGCGAGGGAGGCCCTAGGGAAGCAGCAGGAACCAGGGCAGGGTTCCAGGCTGGAGGAGGCCATGGCTTCCACTGCTGTGAGTGGTGGAAATAGTGGGAAGAGATTGGATTCTGGAGACATTCTGAAGATGGACTTTGTAACATTTCCTAATAGATTAATCTGGGAATGAGAAAGAAGAGTCAAGGAGGACACCCAGAATTTTGGACTGTGTGAGTACAAAGATGGAGTTGCTGTCAGCAAAGATGAGAAAGATTCTGGAAGGAGCATATTTACAGGCATTCACTTTAAGAAATGTTGGAGCTGAGATGTCTATTAGAAATGCAAGTGAGATAGCAGATTGGCAGTTGGACAGATGGGTCTGGAGATTAGGAGAAATGTCTGGGCTGCAGAAATAGATTTGGGAGGTGATACCATGTAAATGATATCTAAAACCTTGAGAACAGATGAGGTCACCAAGGGAGTGATGGCTATTGAAGAGAAAGGAACAAGGACTGAACCCTGGACCCCCCAGTGCTAAGGGATCTTATCAGACTACATACCCAGGGCAGACTGCACACTTCTGGTTCCGTGTTTAGAAGGCATGGAGACCTAAGAGTCCCAACTTCCTGGGCACAGGAATCCCCTGGACATCTGATTAAGATTCAGAGAATCTTGAACAGAGCATGAAAGTCTGTATTTATAACAAGGTTGGTACTGATGCTGTCTTCAGATCACACATTTAAGAGCAAGAATGTGGAGCATAAGGGCAGGCCCAGTGTCATAGTGTTTAAATTTGCATGGTCTGCTTCAGTGGCCCGGAGTTCGTGGGTTTGGATCCAGGACCCGAACCTACACACCACTCATCAAGCCATGCTGTGGTAGTGTCCCACATATAAAATAGAGGAAGATTGGCAGATTGGCAGAGACATTAGCTCAGGGACAATCTTCCTTAACCAAAAAAAAGGAATGTAGATCAGGATTCCCTCATAGCTGGGCATCAGCCTTACATGTAGGGCTTGTTAATTAAGCAATTCCTTGGTCTTGTGCCTAATATTCTGAGATGGTTGGTCTGGGGAGAGGCCTGAGTATTTTTTAAGAAGCCCCACAGCACTGCTAGTGCTCAGCCCTCATCACTGGGGTCTTTCTAGTGACCAGCCCCCATCCTGAAGCCATCTAGGACCTCAGACATCTCATTAGCATATGAAAGTCACTCATCACTCAGGAGATTCCAAGGATTTAGGAGCTCTATGCCAGGAACCAGGGACAAAGACTAAATATTTTTTGATTACACTACAGGCTACTCTCTGGTCTTTGACCACAGATCCCTTATAGCAAAAGAAGCATAACACTTAGAAGATGCTGGCAGATTACTGGTTCCCATTCAATCATGAACAATTAGTCCAGTCTGTCATCCTCTTGTGTGAGAATGTCTCCCAGGGTGAGGTCACTCAGGTTTGCAGGCTTCCATTTGATGTTGTCAGGTTCCAGAAGCAGAAATAGTCTCAGCAATATATGTCTACACCTTTTCAGACATCTGGATAATTGAGCTAAGAGACAATATCATCTGTTGCTCACACCTCTTTTGAGGTGTTAATGTAATATTGTGTTTCTCTCATTACACATCCCATTTATTCATTGCTTTACCTTCAGCTGCTATTTTTCCTTCTGTCCATTTATACCTAACCTTTCCACCTTTGGAAGGGATATTAGGTTTGGCTGCGGTGCTGGTCTAGACGCAGGCAGCAATACTAGTGTAGCAGCCCCTCCTCCTCAGTGCGCTCCCATTCATAGAGGAGTCACATAGGTACAGAACTGGTGGGCTAACTGACCACCAGGCAATATAGCTGCATTCACTGTCAGCCCCGATTTTGCCAGATGGGGTGAAGGCACCCTCTGCCCATTTGGGCCCTTAGGAATTCTGACAAAGGGGATAAAAATACAGTTACAGTTTCTTGCTTAGGAATCATTCCTGTTTCTGTTCCTGTTCCTGTTTCTTGTGGGCATCCCTGACCTGAGACCACTGCATCAGTCAGGAAGGAAGAGAGTCGAGGTGGATATAGTCATACCAACTTCCTCCCCATTTCGGAAGAATTGTACAGTCATACCAGCATTCTCCTCCACCCTTCCTCCACGGATCTTCCAGGAAAAAGAGAGGAAATTTTCTAGTAGGGATATTCCTTTAGCCCCACTCACGCTGAGTGTGAGCAGACACTTATGAAGTTGTGTAAGCCAGCCTTTTGTGCCTCTGTATCCCCCACCACCCCATTTTAGACAACCAGTGTTCCAATGGTGCATTCAAATTCTCTATCACACTATTCCTCTGAGGAGGATGTCTCTCTGCCCATTGTTTGACTTTATGGGCTGTAAAGCATGTTCTTTGGCCTGAAGAACTATGACTCAGCAGTGCAAATTGGTGCACTGTCTTCTGTTCTGGTTCTTTTATAGTGCTCTGAGCATTTGTATCTACCACTGGGTAAACAAAACCCGTCCAGAGTCAATATCTACTCTTGTCAAGACCCATTTGTAGCCCCCGTGGGCCACCAGCATCAGTCTGATTTGCTAGCTATGCTCAAGGCATTCCCACCAGGCAATCTGCCACATAGCCCTCCTTAGTCTCTGGTTGGCAGACAGAACAGTTCTTTTTGGTATTTTGCTTCAGAGGATGCAAGTAGAATATGTCTAGACTCCACCCATCTCTGCATTGCTGCAGCCCCTCAATGTCCACTTATGTCATGGATTCAGGTAGCCACATCAAGGGGGATAACAGGTTATCTGCTCATTGATTCCAGACTCTTCCCAACCCAGAGGGGTTCTTGTGATGGGGCATCAACATGTCCTACTTTACACACCCCTGAAATTCCCATAGTGATTTCCATAGGACTGTGCTCCCCATATGGGCATTCCTTTAAGAGACCAGGTTTCCATTGCACTTTGCCTAACCATATGGCCTGGCTGTTGTCTCCTGTCCATGAGTTTGTAAAAATCAAACTATAAGGGCTTTTATAGTTGTTCAATTCTTCCGTCACTGGTAGGAATCCTGCATGAATTAGCTCATTGAGCTGATCTGTTTTTACTTTCCTTGATCAGAGAGGCGATGTTCCAAACAGGATGTTGTCCGCTCACCTTGGAACTGTCATCCATAAACCAAGCAGCTCTTCGTAGGTCAGTTGAGAACTGTTTATAGGATATTGTCCAAGTGACGAAAAAATCCAGCAGCTCCTCATGCAGTTCCAAAGTTAGTCCGAGGGGAAGACAGGCTCCCTGCTCATGCGTCCATCCTTCCTGCATTTCCCTGGTAGCACGATCCTGTATAAACTATTTCCACTTTTTAGTG